TACGCCGATTAGTTGTGTTGAAAGGTATTGAGACTAACAGGACACCAATCCGTTTTGCCCAAAGGTACACCGATGTGTTTTGTCCAAAAGTTTTGAGACTTACGGGTAAACCGATGTGTTTTGTCCAAAAGTATCGAGACTTACAGGAAAACTGATATGTTTGTCCAAATGTTTTGAGACTTACAGGTAAACTGATGTGTTTTGTCAAAAAGAATTGAGACTTACACGTACACCAATGTGTTTAGTCCAAATGTATCGAGACTTACACGTACACCAATGTGTTTAGTCCAAATGTATTGTGACTTACAGGTAAACTGATGTTCCAAAAGTATTCAATATAATATACTTACACGTACACCGGTGTGCTTTCTCCAAATGTATTGAGACTTACAGGTAAAGTGATGTGTTTTGTCCAAAAGTATTGAGACTTACGGGTAAAGTGATGTGTTTTGTCCAAAAGTATTGAGACTTACAGGTAAAGTGATGTGTTTTGTCCAAAAGTATTGAGACTTACAGGTAAAGTGATGTGTTTTGTCCAAAAGTATTGAGACTTACAGGTAAAGTGATGTGTTTTGTTCAAAAGAATTGAGACTAATGGGAACAGTAATATGTTTTGTCCAAAAGTATTGAGACTTACAGGTAAAGTGATGTGTTTTGTCCAAAAGTATTGAGACTTACAGGTAAAGTGATGTGTTTTGTCCAAAAGTATTGAGACTTACAGGTAAAGTGATGTGTTTTGTCCAAAAGTATTGAGACTTACAGGTAAAGTGATGTGTTTTGTCCAAAAGTATTGAGACTTACGGGTAAACTGATGTGTTTTGTTCAAAAGAATTGAGGCTAATATGTACAGTAATCTATTTAGTTGAAAAGTATTGACACATACAGGGAAACAGACGTGGTTTGCTGAAGAATATTTAGACTAACAGATAAACCGATTTGGTTTTATCCAAACGCAATGAGACATATACCGTCGTTATTGCGTATCATTTACAATAGTCTACAATTACACTACAGCGTGTCGACAGATATATTGAGACTTGCAGGATATTAAAGTGTATTTGTTCAAAAGTGCGCAGGCTTGCTCGTACACTGTTGAAATTTGTTTGTGTAGACATGTATATGCGATATTGTCTAATGTGGCTTTACGTTGTGGCTTTGTACCACTTGAGCAAGTGTTCTTGTAACTGTTCTAAATCCGTCCCCTCTTAAAGGCTATTTTGCCAGCTACATTGCTGTTGGTGTACATACATGCAACAAGATGAGTACAGAGCGTGCATGTAAAGTACAGAACAAATCTTCAGTATGTAAATCGCATTCGGGTGAATAAATGTTGTTACACAATATATTACACAGTGTGCAACCTGCGGGATTATGACACTTCATCGTCATGTCAAATGCTTGGATTCTATTCCCCATTTGGGTACAGTGTATGCTGCCCCTTATCTTTATACCGCTCAATCACCGACACATACCTTCAACAAGGGGCGGTAGGGTTGCCTGGTGGTTAAAGCGTTCGCTCGTCACGCCCAGACCTGGTTCGATTCCCCACAAGGGTACAACATGTGAAGCCCAGTTCTGGTGTCCCATGCCCTGATATTGCTTGAATATTGCTAAATCCGGCGTAAAACCCCACTCCCTTCAATACATTCAACCTCACCAACATTTAGGCTTCTTTAGTCAGTAACCTCGCATATTTGGTGTTACTTAATAGTTTAAATGAAAATTTCTAAAAAATATAGATATCCTCTAACAGACTGGCGTTCTTAGACCGTCCGCTTATCTAGACTTGCCTCCTTAAAGGATAGAATTACATTACAAAACATCCATGAACTTAGCCTTCACTACAGCCTTGGAGCAACAGGCTAGTAAACAACAAACTGTACCTGTACCTGCCCATGTTTCCGTCAACATCCCTTGTCCTCACAACAGAGTAGTGTTAAAGTTATCAGCTTCAGCATTTCCTTCACACATCGCTTTGCAGTGTAATATTTAACCAACGAATCAAGCTACGACTTGATTCCAGCGAGAGGATAAACAGCGAGTGTTTACATCAAGGACCGGTCACATTAAATCTGCAATATACAACTATGCGGTTTAACATGCGCCACAGCCTTGTGTATAACCTTTTGTACGCTTGAATGTCATCTACGCTGGTTCAAGATCGCAAAGACGTATCGACCGTATATTCACAGATGATGTAGGACCATAGTGTATGCAAACCCCTAAAGTACACGTGCTGGCATTATCTTCATAGTGTGATCATTTTCTTCTCACAGTAATTGATTGTCACGAAAAGCCTGGATTACGTCCATACTCTGTGCGACAAACCTTTAACCTAAAACATGAACTCAGGTTAGGATATTAAACGACATTAAAATGTATTGAATAACGTACGGTATATGAAATGTAACATACGTAAGGTCCGATTTTACAATCGGGAATTATTCGTTTAATATTAACTTACCTGTCTAGCATAAATACAATGGCTTTCTTTCATGTTTGTGAATGCTTGATTGATATTGCATTTGGCTTCGTAACAATATGCACAGTTTGAAGCTAGAAAGAGACTGCGTCTCAGGAATACCAGATTGTTTCTTACCAAAACCTTGAACCTGGGTTTCAAATGAGCAAGCATTGGAGAAGGGCCAATAAAACACAACACTGGCGCAATGAATAAACAAACTGCTCTCAGCTAATCGAGCAATGGGTCATTTAGGGCCCGAGAGATATGGATAGGGTGATTGTGCATTTTAACAAAGACACATATTGGAAGTCAGGATCAGACTCGATTATCTACCGATCGCCGCCACATGGCTGGAATATTGCTAAGTGCGGCGTAAAACTAAACTCACTCACGATAGACACACATTTGGTATCGTTGACCATTTCAGAACAATCCCGTGTGGCGTGTGGTCCTGTGCACAGAGCTCAGGTCACGAATCAGTTGAAGTTAAGCAAGAGAATTGACACAAGGGAGTACGCCTTCCTGAGATCAGGAAGACCCGCTACAGGCATGTTCTTCAGACAATGAAAATATCGACTTCATCGAACGTGTTGAAATTTCAAATTAGATTTTAGACGTCTTTTCGAGAACTGTTTCCTGTAATTCTATTCAATGTCTAAAGATAACCTTATGGGGAAAAGTAGCTTTTGTTTCTTGATACGTTCTACTGAAAACGACTGCAAAAGGCTTTCTTAGAAACAATAAAATATTTACGATTACGCCATTCATCTCCCCCGGACCAGACATTCTCTGAGGACATGGCTCTGTAAGCCAGCGTGTCCTAAGGTTTCTCAGTATAGATATTTTTTAACGTTTTGAATGAATGAAGATCTGAGTCTCAACAGCGCGCCCAACTCCAGTCCTATAGCGAGATGTTTGTCTCTGCGATCAGATTCAGATTTGACAGTATTGTAAAAAAATTATTTGTCACGAAAGACTAGAATCAACCGAAAGGTTTATATCGCTATGGCAAGTGAGGGAGCGAATTGGAAATATGCTCAAACAATATTTTAGTAATATCATGGGACACATCTCTGAATAGAGAATTGCGGCGGTGCGTAGCAAGCCAATTGTTTTCGTGTGAGCCCGATAGGTTGCAAAACTATATATTTAGACAGTATTGAGGGCTTGCCCAAGCTTTTAGCAGCAATCATGTGTAAGCCCGGGCATTCTTTTCGTAATGGTAGCTACGCCCTGTACGCCGAAGGCGACTTGTCCACGTGGCTTCCTAGTGAGTGAGTGAGTGAGTATGTGAGTGACTGAGTGAGTGAGTGAGTTTAGTTTTACGCCGCTTTTAGCAATATTCCAGCAATATCACGGCGGGGGACACCAGAAATGGGCTTTGCACATTTTACCCATGTGGGTATTCCAACCTGGGTCTTCGGCCTGACGAGCGAACGCTTTGACCACTAGGCTACCCCACCACCCCGACCTGTCAGTGACAAGTGTGATGTGTGGTGCTAGTTTTATTGGTACCAAATGTTTTCATGTTTTTGAGGTGAACAGTTCACCTGTTGTTTGTAACGGGTGCAACTGTCCAGACAGGATTCCAGACTTGTTATTCATACAAACATGACATATATAACATGTACATCTAGGAGGAATCGTACAACTGACACTTATTTTTAGATGTTTTGTAATATCAGATTCGTTTCGGCGGATGGTCGAGACTGGTTGTCCTCTGGTACTGACGTTTTCTATGTATCATCACAGGTTTTCAAAGACATTAATCCTTCTTTCATCGTTGTTTATGTTTGATTACTCCAGGGAACACCTTTGTTTTGTGTTCTTTATGCCTCGAATCCACTCAAGGCAACAATGTTTAATCTCGTTTGAGTTAAAAAGAAGAATTAAAAGAAACGTGAAATGTGACCATTGATGAAAATGCACCATGTCAAGAAACAACGATTCACGCCGGCGGGGCATGGTGACACAATCACCTCATTGATCAGACTGTACGGCACGCTATCGCTTGTGGTGATGGAGAGGCTATTCTCCCTACGGGCTGAAAACAATTTAGATACGTTAATGAAACCGCAGAAGCGACAAGAAGGAACTCTTTGCTTTCCGAGATGACGGTACAACGACATTGTCGAATGGTTCTGTTTCATGAATGATTTGCTTGACGGGGTTTTACAATTGGATTTGCTAATAGTGTCTGATTTATGACATCATTTAGTCATAAAATGCGAGACACTCTTAAATCATCCTCCATACGTGCCTTTAAACAACGATGCAGCCTTGGCATATTTCATTCTGGCTTACACAGGAAATTGTAAACTTTTCGAGTAATCGCATGTTCAGCGAAGCCTTAAGCGTTGATGCGGAAAGTCTCCTTTCTTCAATAACATACCATTGCTGCAACGAAACACTTATCCTGCGATCAAATCAACACCATGTGCTTCAAGGCATTTTTGCACTAAATAACTCTCGCTACTCATGTAGACTCTTGTTGCATGCACCGTGTCATCTGGCATGAGAGCCTACTGGTATTGCCAAGTCTCTAAGCAGCGTCATCGCTTGGTAGTCGCTCGTATTGATCTTTAATGGACCTAATTCAGTCAGAAGCCATGCGCTGTCGCCAATTCTCCCATGGATTACACTCGGAGCAGCCACAATTGGTATAAAATCCGCTGCCACCGTCCCTGTACACCGCAGGACGGAAACTAATTGAATGGCACTGCGCATGTGTGCTATGGTTGGAGTTTATATCCACAGACCACGCGTCGACCGATCAAAACAAATGGCGAAGTTGCTTGAGCGGGCGAGAAAGTTTCTCAAACGTGTCTCAACGGCCCGTCAATGTTTCCAACGCGCAGACTAATTCTCGAGCCATCTTAGGCAAATTGGATGTACACCATGGAACGGATAATTGTGTCTATGAATGAAAGCAACAGTTCGGAGCAAAACCTATCCAGCCTTGACTTAAGTGGATTACTGAGCATCGAAAATGAAACTCATTTCACGTACGTGGAGAATGTTCTCACATCAATTCTTGGTGCCAAGAGAAAGGATCTGGCTTCCGTCACAGTCCTGACTGTGGTGTATTGTGTGATATTTCTAACAGGGATGATAGGCAATGTGAGCACCTGTATAGTGATAACAAGGAATTCCTACATGCATACCGTCACAAACTATTACCTTCTCTGCCTTGCAATATCGGATGTGTTGACACTCATCTTAGGTAGGTATTGGGTTAAATCTTAGCATTTGCATACACTAATCTTTGAAATGTAACCCTGTTAACCGGACCGTGTCTTTCCTAACGAGATTGTCCGGCTTACCACATGTCCGGATAAGTGATAATAATATCCATCTATATATATAGTCGTTTCAAAACGTAACGATCTCTGAGTCATATACCTAATACCTAATAATATCCATCTATATTGATAGTCATTTCAAAACGTAACGACCTTGAAGGCGGGATTTGCAGATTAACATTGTTTTCATGTATGTACTTTTGTGTATGTGACGTTCAGAAGGATCATATTGTATGCCTTTCAGGTAACACCATCAGTTGTCGGTTCATGTTTCTTTGTAGAATGAAACTGGTGATATATGCTGTAGTCGTTGAAACCCTGTATAACGTATAATATAGCTACTGTTATCATATAATGTAACACGCCATGGCAATGCCATCATTATATGGATGTATAACTATTTCTTATTACTTCCTTCGTACGTAATGCAATTTACAGTGATGTATGTGGAAATGTATCGTGTATCGTTTTGCTCGTGCGGAGTAGAGATGTGAAATCTGATTTGGGTCATACTGCAGTTACAGAGCAGGTGTGTTATCCTCGCGTGCATGAACAGTGGGGATCGATATTGGCGACAGGTGTGCTTCAGTTGCTATTTTCTGCCAGCTTGGTTTGTTTGGTATCGGAATGACTCTGACGAACACATTTTCAACTGGTACACAACTTTTGATTCGGTGTGTGTGTGTGTGTGTGTGTGTGTATGTGTATGTGTGTGTGTGTGTGAGATGGCTTTTAGACGTCTCATGACTGATGCCACGCGTATTAATGATTAAAACAAATATATATGGGATTTATGATCGTTAATGTACACATCGCTTCATCGAATCATGCTGATTGGTGTTTTTGTTCTTAGATGCATCTAGTAATAGTAATGTTTGCTTGAGAGACCCATGCTGACATCGACGATTACATGTACATATATATATCGTGTAGCCCTGTAGTGTTCAGTCGGGATGGAATGTCCAGGTTTGAATCCCGAAATTCGGCTCATTTCGGTAAACCCATCGATGACAATTCTGGAACATTGCTACAAGCGGCGTACAGCCATGCTCATGCCAGTCAGGCGTTATTTCGTTGTAATGACGAATCTATCTCATATGCTTTGTGAGTTAGCTGATACCAATATGTTGATAGATTATTGACAATTCCATCGTGCATGATACGGAATATATTTAATTTACTGCAATTCATACCTCTAATCCCATAAGCGTATTTTGATGATGATATGTCATACGGTTTATCAATATAAACCATATGGATTCATTGATTCAGTGAGAGAAGATAATTTTCCATCATTTAACCCAGAACCTTGCAGACATAGCTTTAACACAACAGGCGTTGTGTGGACGCACAAAGAGATAGGTTCACTATGTGAGGTGAGGTGAGGTGAGGTGAGGTGAGGTGAGGTGAGGTGAAATTGGGTTTTACGTCGTGCTTGAGAATATTTCGCTCATATGACGACGTGCATGCGTGTGTATGTGTATGTGCGGCTGTTTGTACTAGCCCAGACTTAAGCTGGTTTTATAGTGCTAGCCCACTGAGATACCATGCCGCAGTAAAGCATGAATACCCCACTCAGACAAATTATACTGACTCCGAGCCGACCAGTCCTTGCTGTACCCATTAATGCCTAGCGCCAGGCAGTTCACTATGTGAGCATTATGAAATAATAATGTTAATGTCATCACATATATACAGATGATCTGAATGAGTTAATTCACAGTTATGTACAGTAGGACTTATAAAGTACCGTTAAGCCACAGTAACTGTTATCGGGCGTTCCATTATATGGCAACAGATGCAGTGTTTACAGTGTAAAACGCTGGCTTGGTGTTAGTTTCACTGCAATGACTTCGCGATGGCTCAAGTATACATATGTATGAAGCGGCGTCAGCTGTTTCACAATCCACACCTCCTATTCACAGGCAACAATTCATTATATATTACATTACTTCTTGTTTATGGACGGTAGGGTGACCTGGTGGTTAAAGCGATCGCTCGTCACGCTTAAGGCCTGGGTTCGATTCCCTCATGGGTACAATGTGTGAAGCCCATTCCTGGACCAGCCGTAATATTGCTGTAATATTGCTACAAGTGGCGTAAAAACCTACTCTCTCACTTCCTTTTCATGCTTGTATCATTTCATGGCATTTTGAAAAGTACCTGACTTGCATGTTTTACAGTATGACAAAACGTACAGGTCTGACAACCCTCTCAATACACTTGATCCTCATCAAAACCGAGGCGATGGGATAGCCTATACTAGTGGTTAAAGTGTTGGCTCGTCACGCCGAAGACCCGGGTTCGATTCCCCACATGGGTACGATGTGTGAAGCCCATTCCTGGGCTCGCCGTGATATTGTTATATTGCTAAAAGCAGTGTTAAACTAAACTCACCCACTCATCAAAACCATAATTGTATAGAATTATACGTACAGACGTTTACATATTCGATAATGCCGACTCGATATTCTGCATTTGTTCTGATGTTAGAAAACAATATTCCACTGACTTTTGCATGACATGGCTTAGTTTGGAGTGAAGCAAACGGGGGCATACATCCTACTTCGTTATGCTTCAGTGGAAGTGTACTTCTTGTAGTTGATAAATATATGATAACCCCCACATTGTGTTTTTAGCATAATCTATACCGTCCTTCCAAATATTGACTGTTTTATACCCTCGGGATGGAAGCTTACAAACCACCATGACCGGACTATTGTCATCATTGAGGACTGGGGTAATAAATTATTTGTGTAGATCTTAAGTATGATAAGATCATTCATCTTGGAACAAAAGAAGGACCAGCAGAGATCTATTTTTAGCTTCTGATATAGTAATCGATGAAAGTCAGCGGACATAGCTTCTGAACATCACAACATATTGTAGAATATGAATATGAGATGAGGTGAGGTGAGGTGAGGTGAGGTGAGGTGAGGTGAGGTGAAATTGGGTTTAACGTCGTGCTTGAGAATATTTCGCTCATATGACGACGGTTTTATAGTGCTAGCCCACTGAGATACCACGCCGCAGTGAAGCATGAATACCCCACTCAGACACATTATACTGACTCCGAGCCGACCAGTCCTTGTTGTACCAATTAATGCCGAGCGCCAGGCAGGGACCAACAAGTACCATATTTTAACGTCTTTTGGTATGACGCGGTCGGGGATCGAACCCGCGACCTTCCGCTCTCCGGGCGGACGCTCTAGCCACTAGAATATGAATGAACTACATCAGATATTCTTGTTCAGTATAATCACTCTCTAACGTGGTTATATCTTCATAGATACGCTAGTAGGATCAGTTGACTAGTTGACCTAGTTGACTTATTGGATTTTTCATAAGGGCAGTGGGGTAGCCTAGTGGTTACAGCGTTCGCCCATCACGCCGAAGACACGGGTTCGATTCCCACATGGGTACAATGTGTGAAGCCCATTTCTGGTATTGCTTGAATATTGCTAAAAGCGGCGTAAAATCATACTCACTCAGTCACTATACTCGATATTCCTTCAATGCGTAACCAGCAACAGTACAAAAACGTTGTGTTGAAAGAATAAGTGAGTCAACTCTATATACCTTACCAGAATTCTGATCACTGTTAAACAAATATTTTACGGAATAATTAACCCAACATTTAACAAACGCGAAATAACATTCTAATTTTCTTCCGTTCATGTCTAATATCCAATTACAGTAACAGAAATACTCAAATATAATCAGTTGAAGATTGATTTTAAAAGCTCAGATAAAAAAAAGAGACAGAAAGTGATTTTCTGAAATATCTTTTTCTTCTGCTGACTAGTTCGTTTAAATGTCAGTTGAACCATGTTTGAACAACTTTTTATTTAATTTCACATTGACCATCACAATGAATGACAAACCCGTCAGTCCCATTTGGCCTGATTCGTCCTTAACACACAGTAATTAAAGGTCAAGAGGGTTATGACCAAGACATTCCTTACTGAAATATGACAGTATAGATTAGGGCTGGCTATCGATACAGACCATAGAGATCGATAATGGTTAACTAAATATCGATCCAGTTCATTTTCACCCGTTTTCACGAGAGTTTCAATGGTCATTTAATAAACTTTCAGGACAATGTTGTTGTGCACCCCTGCACCCCGGTCTGGATCCGCCTATGCCCATGAATAAAAACCTAACGTTGTGTATTGTGTGAGTAAATTAAAACTTTATTCATCACAAAAGTGTATGAACGGAGTTATCGATGGCTCTATTTTATATCAATAATCATTAATACAATACGGAATAAAATACTTGACTTGACTTGACTAATAATATTTGCTATCGACCTATCAATTTGTTTAGCCAATCCTAGCATAGATATTATCTCATAAATACGAACAATATAACGTTAAAATATCGAACACGAGTAACTGAATGAAATCTCTTGTGGTTAATACAATACCGAGTTTCATGGTCATGTCGCGTCGTAAGGATGTTATCGCGTTTACTCAGAGGCTCACCAGATACTTTGTAAAAATACCACATCGTTCAATTGCCAAGTGTGCAAGTTTGGCCAGATGCTACTGTTAATATAATTGTCAGTACTAGGGGCACTCTTCACTAATGGCTTCTGCACATGCTATTGCACTTAATGCCATTAACATCGATATCTCAAGGCAGCTGTGATAGAGGATCCGGGGTTCGCGTTGGGTGGGACCGAGAGGGGGGTTTGATTGCATGTTCATCACACAGGAGGGACGGTCGTACACCTCATAAAGTTTAATGAACTTTTGGAAGGAAGATAATGATATCAGTTTAATTACACTTACTGATTTTGAGATCACTCTGCTCATTACTATTTAATGAATACTTGCAGGATTGTTTGGTGTTTGAATTTGTAAGGCATTTCAGAGACGGTGAAGTGTTAAGTATTAAAAGTGCCTCTTGATAG